GTATACCGCTGCCGCACGTGCTTGAATAATATACACCATTCTAATTCACAATCCTGTTACCGCCAAAGTGCAAATTAATAATGAGCCGCAAATTTATTATTCACATTAATATATTATAGTAGGTAGGTTTAGACAACAGGTGGGTATGGTTTGGTATGTACGTCTATTACAATTTGTGTCGATGAAAATCGCTTGAACGTCGAGCGGCGGCACATAACGCGTGTGATACAATACTTCGTTCGAGTACCTATACCGATAGGCGTATAATATTATATATTATATTAATATTAAACGTTGTATATGGTCGCGTAAAAATTTGGCAATATTCCACGAACAACGATATATTATAATATGTTCTTTTAGAAAACATAGTTTAGTAGATGTCGAACAATTTGCGGACGTAGGTACCTATATATATAATAATATAATATATTTGGAGGCACCTCTGTAGGGTGTTTTCCGAGCATCACACATCGCGCCACTCCTATGTAGTCCCATGATAATATGTATGTAAATAGATATTATATTATGTATATACGTACACAATTTTATATACCTTCCTATATATAGTCCATACCGACCGAACGGGTTTCGTCCTACAGAGAGCAGAACACAGGGAACGGTAATATATGGTCATTGTTTATAGTAGAAAATAATAAAATAAAACGTTTAAAATATTAATACACAAAAAATATAACTAATGCCCAAAATGCCCAAATATGATGTAGCAGCAAGAATGTATAATTTATAGTCAATATAAAACTCGGAAAAATTAACACCGATCGTCAACGTATAGCGTGAGTCTCTAAGCAGGATGTAATTTTTTTTTTCAAACTTATTTCTATAGAAATTATGATGTAATATACAGCTATAATAGGTACACATACACTGGTCACACAGTGATTCTTAGAAAAGAGGAACACTAGTTTTTTTCTAAAAGTATTAACGTTTGTGGAAATATTTTTGTTGGATAATATTGCAGTATTGAAAATATTCTATTTATATAAACTGTAAAATAAACTAATAATACCATCATATCATCTTTGATCTAATCTGTCCGTCTTTGATCTTAAATGGTGTGAATATATTATTATTATTATTATTAAGACTTATATATATATATATTATGGATTAGTTCAGAAAGTTTTTTTTTTTTATAATTATTTATGGATCCAGTATAATATATCATGACAATCTAATTTTTATAAAGTGAATGGCCTAAATTAAATTCATTGAGAACCGATAGACATTGACATTTAAAAAAGGCACGCACTGTTTATATAAGTATTGGGACCCTAGGCATGTAAATATAATATGGAGTGTGGTGACTTTCATATAGCTCGCACTCGCGCTTTATACTCACTTTATTGGTTATTATTATAGTATGGTCAGTCGCGGCCACTGCAATAGTGCAGGAAACAATGCTTTAAAATAAAAAAAAAACATCTTTGTAGATACTATTTTAGGTGGAACCTACAGTTTATTAGTTTATAGAAATACTAGATTCCGGTGTTTGTCATCCCGCCTACGGCGGAAAGACTGTGTGGGCGGTGGTGCATCTTTGTCGGCGATGCTGGGTTTTTTGATCCAGCCTGCGGCGGGAATGGGGGGTCGTCGGTTATTGTGTTTTGTCGTGTTGGCAGCACTGGTTAAGCTGTAATTTTTGAACTCGGAAGAGTGTCTAGTCGTAAGTCACGCGATTCAAGTCGATCGTACGACACAGCCAGCCAGGTAGGCAATCCGACTACGTCGGATCGCAGACCATGCACCGGGCGGGTATGTCCGGTTCTGGTGTATGTGTGTTGAAATCGGAAATTCGGATTCTGGGTTTGAGTGTCTAGCTATCAGTCATCTCGGGTAAAAGTCGATTCCCGAGTGTCGGATGCAGTGTGGGCACTGGGGGTGTAAGTCGCTCGTATGCAATTAGCTAGTCAGGTAGGCAATCCGACTACGTCGGATCGCAGACCATGCACCGGGCGTGTATGTCCGGTTCTCGTATGTGTGTTGAAATCGGAAATTCGGATTCTGAGTTTGAGTATCTAGCTATCAGTCATCTCGGGTGAAAGTCGATTCCCGAGTGTCAGATGCAGTGGGGGTGTAAGTCGCTCGTATGGAAGTAGCTAGTCAGGTAGGCAATCCGACTACGTCGGATCGCAGACCATGCACCAGGCGTGTGTGTCCGGTTGTCGTATGTGTGTTGAAATCGGAAATTCGAATTCTGAGTTTGAATGTCTAGCTACCTGTGGTGGATCGGATGCAGTGGGGGTGTAAGTCGCTCGTATGCAAGTAGCTATACTCTGTTCAAAATAAGATCGTGACCCGGCGGCGACCAGTTTTCGTCGGGCGGCGGTCAGACATATGGCCAGATGCCGTCCCCACTACAGCGACGCGTCGGGCGCAGCCACGGAACAAAGCCACGCCCATGCGCACAACTCGGCCGCCGGGTCACGATCTTATTTTGAACAGAGTATTGAGTATTGAGTGTCTAGCTATCAGTCATCTCGGGTGAAATCCGATTCCCGAACGGACAATCCGCCTACAGCAAAAAGTGCTCGAAACGGCCGTTCAAATATGAAAAAGTATACAGGAGGTAATAAAATTGTATTTGTTGATAATTATAGAGAACAGTTATCAGGTGTTTTATGTTAGGCTTCACTGTAATCAATGTAATCATTGTTATGTTTTCGCGGTTATAACAAATAAGTCGACAAAATCTAATTTTCTGATTGGATATTTTCTAAAATATACCTTCCATGTATATTTATTTAATTATGAGAATTAAGTCAAATTAACAAATAGATAATTATATTGGTGAATAACAAATTTTATTGAAATGTACTACTATCCTATTAAACGTAGGTATCTATAAATGAATACACTACACATACTCTCGTTTCCGACACACTACTCCACCCCGGGACTCGAATTTTCGAAAAAAACGGCAAATGAAGCAGTCATATTACAGTCGTACTATTTTTTAATATAGTATTTATAATCTGTAGCAGTATTTAACCAAATCGGAATCACGTAAAAACTGTAATATATCAAGTAGGTACTACACGTAGGTTAGTTATACGTCATTATAATGTGTTAATAAAAGAAACATGTAGGTGCGTCGGTAAAATCAAGTATTAATTAAATGTTAATTTTAATTATTTTTTTGCCCAATAAATATCGTCAAACGAATAATAATAATATATATAATATAATAATGCAAATTTAAAAAAAAAAATTAACACTTTCGTTAAAAATGATAAATGTGACGAAAAAAAAAAACGCAAAAATAAGAAAATCGATTAAGTACGGCCGCCGCAAATAACCGAAAATCCCGGACGGCGGTTTCGAACCCACGACCCTCGAGTCACCTACCCTAACGCCTAACCAACCTAGCCACCTACTCAGATGAAGCAAATGTATGACTCTTGAGCCGCGTCGCCGTGCTCGCGGCGATAAAATAAAATTCTTATCACTTTCCTTATCAATAAAAACAATATTTAAGAAAATCCCAATAAATCCTATCAAAAACTCAAAACCCCGAGTTTCCCCTTGGCGAGGTGGGTGTTAGTACTCTCCCGGACCAAAATCCATCAAAAAAGCAAAATCCAAAAAGGGGGGGAGGAGGTGCCCCTGTTCCCTAAAGCGGAAAACGGTAGTATTCATAAAAAGAATGGGTTCCCCCTTGGTCCGAGGTCTTTAACTTGAATTCCGGCCGAGTTATACTCAACTCAAAATGTGGGGGGGTGGGGGCTTTGGTTCCCTAATGTTGAAAATTCATCTGGGGCCTAAAAAATTGAGATGCCCATTGGTACGGGGTCTCTAAGTCGAATACCGGCTAAGTTATACTTCGTCAAAAATAATTACTCGTTTAATGGGTCCCCCCACTCCGCCCGACGGTCACGGGGTAATCGATTTATAAGACGTTATTATCACGTCAAAAAATTGAAAAACACGGGTTTTTTTTTAATAATAATAATAATGTTCGAAAATATTCGTCGATAAGGAAAATGGGGGGTAAGCGAGCGGAATTTATAGCGAACGCGCGGGAAGTATTGTGATTGGTCGTCATGGAAGAAACGCGGAGTGCCGTCAGCGCTCCCCGCGGATCTTATACGCGTTATTAGCGTTTTATTATATAAGACTATAGGGGGGGGGGAACTGTCATCTATACAACAGTACTTATATCTAATAAATTTTGATTAAATATCCATATACAACGCTATGAGATAGATATAGGTAGTAGATAGATATATGTAATAGATTTTGAATAATATAACAGTACCTTCCTATGGCTTTTGCACTAAATCATATAATAAGCTTTTATGATTTATTACATAACAAATTTTAAGTACCTATGTACCTGCTTATACGATACGAATCCATTCGAATTTTCCACTTTTTTTTATTTGTTTATTGTTTGTATATAATATAGCTGATAATAATATACCTAATAAAATATAGTTATGAAACACGCATTTATTTTATCGTGTAAAAAATGTTCAACCGCTTTAACCAATCCAATATACGATCTGGCCATGAAAGGAGCTCTTGAGGGAAACAACACTAACCAGACCGCACTAACTTTCTCAAGAACACTGACATTCACTCCAGATTACAACCACTAATATCTAAACCTATATTTAATGTTGTCGATTCCTAATAATAATTACTTTGATCAACATATTAATCGATAGCGACGATAGGTACCGCTTTTGGTCGTAACTTTTTGAGAGCGAAGAAATTAATAATTGCCGTGTAATAGCTCCTAAATCAATTAGGTAGGTACCTACTATATATTATATATTGTCTGGACGTCAAAGAATTTTCTTTGCACCGTTATTGCTGCAATAATTATATCGTATTTAAAAAATAATTGTTTCGACTAGGTAGTAGGGGTATATATACCGGTATATTTATGAATTTATTGTGCTTGAAACGAGAAAATGCATTCGAGATCACTGCTAAAAATACATGGAATTGATTTAATGAACGAAAAAACTTACCGCAATTAAGCTTTGTAACCGGTCAATTAGCATAGTCTTCGCGATGCCTTTGGCTGAATCGACGGTGTCCTTCGCAGCATAAAATCTACGAAGGCCCGTCTCCCGCCACTGACAGTCCCATGGCGGCACCTGGAACAGTTTTATTTTTCAATTAAGTACGAAACAATTATTATTCATCACGATTTGGTATCTACAGGTTTTTTTTACAATTTATTAACACTCGTAGGCATAATTTACTATGATAACGGGGTGGCGGGAGGGCAGACAGGGTAAGAAGAAATTATAGCGAACGTTTCATTTGCATTTTAACTATATATAGATATCGTATACAGTGAAAGGTTAAGGCGGCGGTAGACACTGTTTTATAATACATTTTATAATAACAACAATTAAAAAACGAAACGAAAGAAAAAACAAACACTATTGTTCGTTATCGAAAGTATCGGATGAGTCTTATTATTATTATACCATCGAGCTATATGTATAGTTTCCTTAACTAATTACAATTGCAGGAATTCAGAATGAGCAATTAAAATGTGTTTTCAAAACGTGGCTCAGTGCATACAGGATTAGTCTTAATAATATTATGCATTCAAACCTAAATCAATCCACCTAGTATAGTCACTATATAATAAATTTGAATATTTGAATAATACTGAAGCCTACGATACCCACGTCATTTAATTTATTATAACCCACTGGTGTAGGTAATTTAAACTATATTATAATCATATACATATTGTTAATGAAGTACATTACTGACTGCAATGAATATAATATATATATAATATTAGGTTTATGAGTATACCCAAATTTTAGAAAAGAATTATTAACCATGCCTAAATAACTAATGAAATACATTTTTTGAACTATAGCTATAGATTTCTTTTTATACACCGTTCCACTGCGATATTATAATAATGTGTCTAATTAATCAAGTCCTACATACGGGATTGTGGTGAAATACGGTTATGTAAATATTGCCATTCATTTTATGTAAAATAGTTATAACAAAATTTGAGAAAAATATATAAGAAGGTTATAATTCGTATGTTTAGTAAAATATTTTACTATTAATCAACGACTTATATAAATTATATATTATATACTGAGAGAGTTATCGGCTTGATTTGCATTTATTTTTTAACTGTGTTGAATTTAAGGTATTTGTTCAAGGTGTTAAATCGAATTAAAAATGTATTTTATAGATTTTAACATTTAATGTAGGTACATACAACATTACAAGTAACTAGGTATGTATACATTTAAAACTCGAAAATATAAATTTTAAACATAATACCATAAATAAGATCCGCTCAACTACAAATAAGCTGCACTTTAATATACAAGTCGTACTTCATTTTAATCTGAAATTCTCATTGTTTTATCTAAGAAATAACAATAAAATCATTAAACCGCAAGTCATTACACAATAAAAAAAACGACTATAACCACGTAAAAATATGAGAGACCGAAATAACAAATTGATACGTATACAATATTTTATCTCGTCTAGCCAATTGTGTATTATAAATTAATAAATATTAGAAACGCAATTACTCTTAAAATCGATTTTCTTCGTTGTCCCGTATGGAGACATATAAAATACGACTTCCGAGATGACCAAATTATAACTTCAAGAGAGAGATTTCCTAACATTATATTATATTATATGTATACGAAATATATAATATTTCATATACACGCGATACACCTAAAAGTACGTTATTACTTATTGCTGCAATATATATTATACGAGAATGAATAATACATTTCCTATTAAGAATTTATATATCAAGTTGATTCATTGGTCGGTTGGTTGTAAACCTATTTATATTTAACGCGTACATAATAATAATATATAATATAATAATAATCGTACACGAATCGAACACGGCCGTACGAATAGGTTAGATACCTGTGTTTAGCAGCTCCTTCTATAACTAATGGCTATACAAATGATGTGTTTTTCGAACGCTCATATAGCTGCGCACGATGATAATATTACATTGTAATGGACGATGTAAAGCGACGTAACGTTATTTATATTAGTTTTTAAAATATCTATTTTTTTTAAATATTTTACTGTGTCGAAATCACATTCCCATAATAATAATAATATGTCATACGTCCTATAATTTTACCACGAGAAAAATAAATAAAAAATCACGTCTGTTTTTAATTGTTGTTTTGGGCGAACGGATCATCGGTGTATAGTAATATATTATTATAATATTATAGTACGCTGCATCCCCGTTATCAAACGACCCGTATAAATCGACCGAACACGAGGAATGCCACACACAACGCGATGTCGTTTGCCGTATTATTTTTATTTTTTTATTTCGATTTTATCGTTTTTTCCGTAGCCAAAAACACGTATTCCACCATGTTAATATAATATAATACGCATAGGAGAAAAAAATTAATTTAAACAGCACCGCCGCAGTCCAAAATAATAATATTGCAGTCTTGCTATATTATAATTTCAAATAATATGTCCACTGATATAATAAACTAGGTACGGTATTGCTGCAGTAATAGTAGAGTAATAAAAAAAAAAATACAACTAAAGTTAATACAAAAAAATTATTTTGCTTTTTTTTCACCCGAATAATACGAGTCAATTATTGCATTTATATAAGAAATTTGCATTTTTCTTAAAAGCAGTTATGTGGAAAATATGAATGTAATACATACACATAGGTAAGTGAAAGAAAAAAATATAAAATAAGGCTACCACATATTTGATGCGTGTTATCTCTGATCGATTGTAATGCAAACCAGTTTTTAATATATATATATATCCGTAAATCGAAAACATGAATGGAACTATATATGTACATAAACCTATAGCATAATATGTAATGTAATAATAACGAAGATAAAAATAAATAAAACGGTATATATAGGTATTTACCTACAGTCTACACTTTGAAACATGTGTGTATACATTACTTTATTATGGATAATATAATGCAGAAATGTAGGTATACAAAAACATGAAAACAACTTATTAAGAGTGCCATCCTAAACCATACTTATGAGTTATGACATTATTGACATGACGCCGTCCATCGTATAATACCCCGTACACCTATATATTATATAATAATTTATAAGACCCCTGACCAACTCTCACGTGTGGTTGCGAGACTTGGACGACGACCAAACAGGCACACATAAGATGGAGAACACTCGAGAACAACATTTGGAGGAACATTATATTATGTGGACCCGCACCACCGACTAATCAAAGGGGAAATAGCAAAGGTGATACAACTCCCCGTTAAACGATATGATGGAACTAAAACCAAATGATTCGATGTAAGCCACATAATTTAGAGAGGAGAAACCGAAACAGTTAAGGCGCCAATGGAATGGAATAACCTCAAAAAGAAGTAAGACTAAGGGAAGACCAAAGTAAAGACAGATTTACTTAGTAGAAGAAGGTTTAAAAAGTCATTGGAATTGAAAACTTGAGCAGTTCAAGATAGTGACAGGTGGCGAGGTGTATAAAGTGATGGCGCCAATAACTCTTTGAGTCGTGCCAGTAGGGGTAGAAGAAGATCTTGACCATACAGTATGAGCCAATTATCAGTGGTACGTCATACACTAACCGTGGTAAGAACTGTGGTCCACGGCCCACGACACTCATGCCTGTGGTCCGCGACGCTATCGGTGTTTTCGGCCATGGACGATTGGTTACGATATACTTAACACGAGATTTATCGTGAAAAAATGTATAAAAACCAAAAAACCAAAGGTTATTCAAAATAAAATTGGTACCTGCAGAGGGAGTCCGCGGTTTGAAAATAACTCTTTCGTCGGAGGTCCACGTACTTCAAAAATTTAAGAACCGCTGGCATAGATGATGATTCATTTCCATATTGTTTACAGCTGTGTATCGGGTGGCTACACTGGCACTTACTGGTAATATTTTGAACGAAGAAACGTTTTATTTGAGGATATACATTTGGTTTTTTACGATTATTCTTACAAGTGAAAAGCAATAGTAAATAATTAATTAATGTATATTATGTTTTAAGACACTATAATGTTAGGCCCGTATGTATCGCGTGAGAATTAAATAAGACCATTTCGGTATGGACAGAAACCGTAAAGACGACCACTTGAAACGATATATAGGTACCTACTCTACTACATTATTATATCCTAGTCGGCTACACTATATAATCAAGTGTTGTGGCGTCGCGCTAAAAATGAGAATTATTCGTCGACTGCGAGTACCTACGTACCTACCTGCATGGTAAGGATTATGCGTGTCATATTATTATAGGTGTGGTTGTCAAATTGAATATATAAATATCGATGAACAAATATTGAAACTAAAAAAAAGGTAAAAATAGAACTTATAGTAGTCGGTAATCGCAAGACATAATCAGATCAAATCGATACATAAAAATTGTATGGGTAGGGCAAGGATAGAAAAAAACATTCGAAACCGATCACAAATCTAATGTTTTATCGTTAACGTGTATAATACTACGGCAGTACTACTATATAGTCACTACTACAGTAATAAAATGCTATGCAAATATTTTAAACATAATATAATACATTTTCATGCATTTTTTTATCGATTTATTTTGGCACCGGCGTTAGGTCAGGTTATATTATATATGTAAAAAAAAAAATACGTATATAAGAATGATAGTTTTATATTCAAGTCTATACGTTGTTTATATATTATGAGTACATGCAATTATAATATTTACAACTCGCTGCGAGCACCCATGTATGCCGACTATTCATACTTGAATATTGTTAACCATCAAGGTACATGTTAGGTACATCGTAGGTACTCGATATTATATTAATTATGTTATTAATTTTTATGTTCGACAATCTTTCGCACACGATTAAATAAAAATAAACAGTGAACAGTTATTATTTTTATTCGTTTTAGATAATATATATTTTTATTTTTTACTAAAACGTTTCAAGTTCGAATGTATACACGAGTATACAAGAGTGCCTATGTAGGTATATATATGTATAGGGTGATTCACCAAGCACACTCAACCCAATTGCGTTTCATTTTATATTAAATTTATTCAAATTCTGATTTTTAGAATGTCCCGTGGTGATACCTATAGGGATTGGTCTAAAGTATCGGCAACTATAGACATTGGAATTTTGTAGGGGATTATACGGTTGCAGGGTTTGAGTAACAGGTGTATGTGGGGCGAGGATTTGTTGCTAAAACACGGGTGGTCACCCCATGACCCATCCGGGGGTATTGTCCGAGTTGCGGTCGCAATAGACGAATTGCGGTCTTAATAATATTGAAGGTAAAATTTAACGTCTTAATTGCGGTCAGTATCCGGTTATCGATTATTCATCCGGTATGATGCTACTTTTCCAACTACACTCTGGGCAGCTTTGAACAATGATGTTTGGAGAACGAATAATGGAAGTGAAGCGTTCAATTCTAAATTCAAAACTGAGAACCGATCGCCACATCCCAACATATTTGAATTTTTGAAATGTGTCAAAAATATACAGATTGATACATATTCAAAAATCAATTCAGTAGATTTTGAAACTAATAAAAAAAGTGAAAGCATAAATCAGAAATTTATTAAAAATAAAATACAACAGTATTTGAAAAAACAAATTGACTCGCTGACATTTGTGAAATGTGTATCATACAAATATGAACCGGTATAATATTATAAATGTATTAATTTTTTTCGTTGAATGTGTGTTTTGTATTTTAAAATGTAACTATATTATAATTTATAATTGAATGTGTAAGTGTACCTAACTATAGACTAACTAACTATACTTGTATTTTGACGTAACGTATTTAAACCGTTTCATTTTTGTATTTAGCATAATAATATGTAACTATGTCAATATTTAAAACATAATAATTATTTTATAATATTTTATAATAATCATATTTTTTTACCGCAACTAGGATTTTTACCTATTTTGATCCCGACCGCAACTCGGATTTTATTTTTTACCTCTTATAATCTCGACCGCAACTCGGTATCAACCCATCCGGGAGGTGTTTGACCACAGCACACATTAGCGACTCCAGGCCCTCTAAAATAGTTTAATAAAACATAAAATAAATGTCATCTTGGATCTAGCATTTACTTTGATCATTTATCCAAATTATAAATGTTGATAGATTAATATAATATTAATTACTAAAATGTTCAACTATTACCGTACCTTATATCTTCCAAACCTATTATGATTAGTATAGGTACACAAAGTTAAATAATTCATAAGCTACCTAGCTACTATAGTTCGAATTATAAATTTGATAGGTACGTCATAATATTTAGAAAAATGATCAGATAATATCTGAGATTTTCGTCAAAAATCAAAATCAATGGAGTAGTTGTTGAGTACCTATATAATATATAGAATGGTATGTTTGTAGCTTATATTATATTATAAGCTACAAACATACCATTGGTAAGATAATACAGTTTTTTTTAATTGAGGCCATTTGATGATGTATGATTTTACCTCATCTAACCGAATAACCAATGACAACCATTTATCTGTACACGAAAAAAAATAGTAATTTCTACAATATTCTTCTATATTATCTACAATTATAATCTACAACCAATTGCAACCATTTATACACAAAAAGAAATTTAAATTTCCTTCGAGAATCTCAAAATACTTGTTTGAGGATCTCTATAAAATGCGAATTTTTGAAAAATTCTTTCTTAGTGGGTGTTTATATCATAAAACGAAACCACTGACAAAATGTCATACTCATAGCACTTCGGTGGTTTCAGCTAGGCGTTGATAAATCAGTCAGTCAGGACAAGTCCTTTTATATACTATTTAATGAGTTATTTAATGAGTTATAGTATAATATTTTTTAACATAAATATGTTTTTAGAATACCTGCAACGATGGTTTTTTGTGAACTGTTCGGGGCTCCTCTCGTTTGGTCAAAATATGTATATGAAATAATTCGACATAAATACGTAGATTTACATGTACGGTTAGAAAGTGCTCTGCAGTATCATCTCATCGGGGCCTAATACTATATTATAATAATATTATATTGGTATACTGTACACACTTTTTTTTTTGTCTAATCCCTAAACGAGTATTTTTTGACACACTAGCTATCCGTCGTAATAATACATAATATATGTACAATGCTCGTACAATCATTATTACCTACAGGTTGCATGATGGCATTTTACGATTTTAATTTTTATAGGACGATTATAATTTATTATATTGCATTACACCTCCCGCGTATATTATATTATATTATTATACCGAATAATATGACCGATCGAAATCCGATTTTGTAATACTCTTACCTGAGATGCGACGGGAACGAGTTTGTCGGTCAGACGAAACCAACACACATAATAATAATAATAATAATAACATAACATACAACAACTCTGCTATCGTATATAGGTATAGGCTAACCCATATTATATAGGAAGGTACGTACCTACATTAGGTAGGTACATTAAGTATTATATTATATATACCAACGATATATTTTACGCGTATTCCGAGACTATCCATAAATTATTATTGTACTCAATATTATCGTTCGAAGTATCTCTCGCGTACATACATTTATATTATAATATATTATATAATGTTAAATATAATAACATAATAATATATAATATCATGCGCTGGGTAGTAGGTACGTTCATGTATATTATTATAATAGAGTGCGCGTGTCCGCCGTCATATCCTCCGCCGACCATTAGCTCGAATTACGCTTATATCAATATTATAGCTGCGATTCGTTCACATAATAAATACATCGCGGGCACACACACACATTACATTCACATTTATATATATATATAAATAGTCGTCATGAGACACACCGTGGCGTCCATAATTATATATAGCCGTTCAGAGTGCACGACATGACATTATTATAAATTGCGTTGACATTAAAAAAAAAATAATTGCCAAATTTTGACCGTGCATTTTATAGCTCCTATGATGGAAATCGGACCTCACCGGCAGGGTCATCGTCATCATACAGAAGAAATTCTGTTGAAACGCACAAGACGTTCCTATTATAGATAGGTACCCCTTATGATTTTGATATATGTATAATGTATATATACACTCCAATAAGTCTCCACCGGAATAAAATCGCGGATTTTCATGAATTCGATTAGGTATGATATTATAACTATAGACGTATTATTTGAGGAAGTGGGGGGGGGGCTAAGGAGGCTTTAAAAAAACAGTCTGTTTTTACATTTTAGGGCTTTTAAGTGAGCATATATTAAGCGCAGGATATTTTGTACCTACTATATTAGGGTTTTTTGTAGTTTTGTCCTTTGCCCTACTTATAGGTATTAGTTATTACTTATTAGGCGCTCAACAGACTAAAGTTTTTGACGTTTTCTTTTTTTTATACCCCGCGATTGCTTTAAACCAGTTTTGGTTACATATTATATCATACTACGGTGCGTATTGAAATCCCAGTATTTTATTTCCCACGCGTGCAGTACTATACATATTATAACGAAAATACATTTTAATTTTCAATATATTTTTCGAGCCAATTCGAAATAGAAAAACCTATATGGCTATATGTTTATTGTACTAGTGGACGTTTTTAGAGACTATTTATTATAATATATAAATAATTTTATCGGCGAAATTTGCATATAATCGAACATGCTCGTTTCTA